TTGCTTGACCTGGCGTGCATTGGCGAGTGATGTGGAAAGGCCTGAACGCAAGATCAACCACAGCAATTTTGGACCTCGGTGGTTTGTGGAGGGGTAGTGAAAGCGGCTGGGGGGTCCCCCTCCACCACTCTCGAAATGTGCAAAAAGAGAGGGCATCTTCCGCTAGGACAGGGAAAGATACATCGCCATGATTTTTGTCTTTTGTGCATTTCCGGAGTAGTGGAGCTACGCCCTATGAGAATTGGAGAGGGCTAGCCCACAAAGTGCCGGAGAATACTTGACGGATCATTCGGGGTGTGTGGGTTCCACTTTCGTCGTTTCATTTCTTTCTACTTTCGGTAAGGTTGTGCAGTACAACTTCCCTAGGATGGGTTTGTTTGGGGTCTCCCACAGCAGAGAATAGGGTCCGGTCGCAACCGCCCCTAAGACCGGTCGTAGGGCAGGTTAGCTTGTCAAGGTCGTTGCAATTTAGTAGAGGGCGCCGTCCATTGTTTCCCTTGTGAGGAATAGAGTTTTTTACCGTTGCAAACTGGGGGCGGGTGATATGGGTCTGGGCAGGCGATTTGGGTCTGGGTCATTTCCACTTGTGTTTTTTTTTTCTCTTCTTATCTTCCCAGAAACAAAGAAATCATTGGCAGGGCTTACTAAGGGCATACTCACACCGGGACCCATATTCCCAAAATCATTGGTAGGGCTTACCAAGTTCCTCTTTTCCTTACTTTTTTATTTCTTCTTTTTCTTTTTTCTTTTTTTGGCCTCCATCCAACACGCGACACAACCAAAAAAAAAAAAAAAAAAAAAAAAAAAAAAAGACCGAAGAAAGAAAGAAAAGGCCATGTGCCTGACTGAACTGCTAGAAAAAGCCAGCCCCAGTCTCAAACTGCTAAAACGCAGTTTCAAATGCAATTGAAACCCGGGCCCTGACTAAACTGCTAAAACGCAGTTTCAAATGCAATTACAAACTGTAACCCTGACCGCGCCGTAGTTTTCTCAATTTTCTAAGTAGCTTCAATTTTCTTAAGCCAAAAGCCGGGCAATGGCCCCGGTATCTCAAATTTTCAAAATTCCCTGTAAATTTTCGTATGGGACGCTGGACCCGGTTCCCAGCACGTGCTGCTCCCCACGAATAGATTGGAGCCTTGTTCCCACTAAAAAAAAAAAAAAAAAAGGTTCCCACTAAAAAAAATAAAAAAAAAAAAAAATCATCAAAGGGCGTCCCTGCTCAGTTAACCCCCTGGTTCTGGGGCAATCAATGCTGGCAGGGGGAGGTATTCTTAAAAAAAATTCTCAGTTTTTCTCAAAACAAGACCCTTGAGAATGACCTAGGATTCTGGGTACTCCTTGCAACTCAGTTTAGGCATCTTTGATGCTGTTATATTCATGCACCTGCAGTTTTTCGATGCCAGTCATTGCCAGAACGATGCTGGCCGGTGCTGGGGGGTTGCCCTATAACCTGTTGATAGCAGGAGCGTGAGGACTGGTAGAGAGATCTGGGGATGCCTTGGGCCGGGCATTCCAAGGGAAAACCAAGGGTTGCTGTCGGGACGATGCTGGCCGGAGCTGGGGTGAGTCATGTTGCCCTGTAACCTAGCAGGGTGGCGGCATGAGCCCTGGGAGAGCGCAGCACGGAATCAGACAGTGTTAGAGAATTTGAGAGTGTTTTGTCCGGGAGTGCAGGGGTTCTGAGCATTCGAAGGACTTTTGTGGTAATTCCCAGCACGTGTTGCTCCCCACGAATAGATTGGAACATTTGTCCCCAAAAAAAAGGAAAAAAAAGAAAAAAAAGATTTCTTCTATCTTCAGGAAAAGACCACTATGCTTCAGATACCTGGTTCGAGCCTTCTCCAAATTGAATCGCCCCTGTATACATTGGCGGGTCTTGGAGCAAGACCCTGTGCCTGGCAACAGAATACAAGTCTAGGAGCCAGGGGCTGATTTCGTCTGCTTCGGCAAGGAGTTTTGTTGCTTCTTTTGCAGATTTGAGAACAGCCTTGTCATGAGCCGATTCCATCAAACATGTTCGGTGCCATGTCCCACTTGCAGGTCTTAAGGACGCTCTGCACTGTCTGACACTGTGCGACACTATGTGACACTGTGTTACACTGTGTTACACTGTGTTACACTGTGTGACACTGTGTGACACTGTGTGACAGCTGATCGGGCCATCCATTCCATTTTGATCTCAGGGTCAGAAAGATGTTCGGGGCCATGTCCCACTTGCATGGAGGGAACAGCGCAGCCGCGCTAAATTGGTGGAAGCCTTTTGGAATTAACTTGTGTGCTATCATTTGAATAGTTTTTTGTTTCTTGCATGGTGTGGGGTAGGCCGGCTAGAAAACCGAACCCCACGGGCATGAAGGCGTCTTGCAGAATGACAGGCATTTGACACTGTGTAGAGTGACGTGCCCTTCGTGCAGAATGACAGGCATTTTGTGCACCCGAAATGATGTGGGCAGCCATTGCGTTGCCAGATGGGGAATAATGGGCTGCAGCTGGAACGCAAGCGCCAGACTCTGCAACCAGCAGAGCACCGAAAAAGTGCAGTCAAATAAAAAAAGACGAAAAAGAAAAAAAAACAGTGCAGTCTGAGAGTGAATGGCTGGGGGTGAAAGCGCAGGCTACAGTCTTCCCTCGAATACAAGCGTACGGTCATTATAGCTGAATTGGGCGCCCAAAACTCGGCCGTTTGGTAATACAGGCCCAATAACTTCCATGTGGGGTACTAAAGGCCCACGCGTCTCTCCAAAGGAGGCCCACGTACAGGATTTTGAAAAAAACGTCCCTACCGGTTCATGAATCTGGCAGAAAATCGTGCCAAATTCTTGAACCGATAAGAACAGGCCCAAGGAGATGTGGCCACGGCGCAAAGCAAAGGCGCCTGGGTGTGAGCCAGGCTGAAGACGGTTTGGGCGGCGCAAAGCAAAGGCGCCTGGGTGTGAGCCAGGCTGAAGATGGTTTGGGCCGGTAGTACCAAACGGCCGAGTTTTGTGCGCCCAAACCTGGAAAGGTTTTGGCGTGGGCACTTTCTAAAAATTATCCTGCTGAATGAATTTGGTGTATCCTTCCGTCTAGATTCAGCTGTAATGACAGGACAATGTATTCGGGTGAAGACTGTAGGTCTAGTTAGGATGTCTGTACTTGTGATTATCTCCACGCATCCCGTTTATTTCCTTGACCGCATTAAAAAAAAACGCGTAAGCTACCACACAGATGTGAGAACCAGAAATAAACCCGGCTAGTGGGACATGGGGCGTCGCTCCACTACACAAAGCTCTACATGCATCTGGGCGGTTTCCCGACCAAGTGCATCTGGACAAGTCCAACATGTTGAATGCATTCGCCAAATAAAGAGTCCAAATGCATGTACAGCCTTGTGTAGTGTGAGGGACGCCCATGGCCTCATGGTTCGGTTTTAGAGGAGTATGTACGTCTACGAAAAACAGAAACAAAAGAATGGAAGAATCAGTTCTTCTACCTGTGAACGTGTTATTCGTTATTAAAAAAAAAAGAAAAAAAAAAAGTGTTATTCTACCTGAACGTCTGCAATCACTCCGGCGGGTGTTGCACAGAGGATTCAGTAGGAAACGAGGAAATAGTACAAACGGCTTCGCCACATAGCTCTCGAAATGTGAAAAATGAGAATGAACTTCCCTCTAGAATATGCCCAGATGCACCCTCCATTTTTTTGTCCGTCTCACATTTCGAGAGTGGTGTGGCGAGGCCCACAGACAAATGAGAAAAAGAGAAAACTGCTAGGCACGGCGGAGAGTCAAGTCGTACTCGGATACATCATAGATGTTTATGTTCCTCTCCCTCCTTCCTTCCTTCCTTCCTTCCATCAGTAGAACAGTCAATTTATAGACTGCTGGGAAGGATGAAGTTAACCTTGGACAATGCTGCTGCATAATGTCCCCGGTACTTATTGCAGGATTTGTAAGAAGCAGACGCTTTGTGTGACGGACCCGCCGGGATGGCGGTCCGTCAGGATCAGGATGAAGGAATGAGGATGGGGGGAGATGGAGATGGAGCTGGAAGGGACAGCGCAGCTCCAACGCAGACTCAACACGCACGTACTCCAATATGTGCAAATGAAGAATGAGCCACAAAACAGACTGCAGCTGGGGTATACCCCCAGCGGACTGACTGGACTGGACTGGACTGGACTGGTACCGACAGTGGTACCGGGCAGGACTGGTCTGGACTGAATAACCACACGGCCTGTGGGATCAGGCCACGGCCTGGTCCCACAGGCCGAACAGGAAAAATGGCCAGATAGGCCTTGGCTGTAGGCCAGGGAAGATAGAGGCCCGCTGCACGATCCTCAGACCTGTAGTGGATCGCAAGAGCCATAAACACGCTATCCGCTAAAGCAGCGGAACTCTGCAACAAAGAAATCTGAGATGGAATGGCAGCAGCAACGGGTTGCGCAGGCGTCAGTGATCTGCTGGCCCCGTATACTACTTTTCCCGGTCGGACAGTGGATATGAGAGGTTCAGAACGTAGCGCAGAGCGGCTGGCTACCAAAAAAAAAGGGGAAAAAAATGCCAGTCAGATAAAACTTCACGGTTTTTCACACACCTCCTTTGGCTGTGTCTTTTGTCTGAGTTTTTTTTTTKTTTTTTTTTCTATTTTTTCCTCCTGGCCCAATCACAGGAGCCCCTTTCGCCTCACTGCTCACCCTTCGAATGATTTGATTATAAAAGATAACAGAGGGGGCGTTGGAAATGCAGTGCCGAGCTCGTTCACCTTTCTCACTAAAGGCTTTCTGGGGAATCTGTGAGCGACCCACCTTCCTCTGCATCTTCTTCATCGCGCCCATTAACTTGGCCATGCCACCGAGGGGAGGGGTGAGACCGTTGCTTTGAAGTGAGTCATCTCTGCCTCATCTCGCAGCTGCATTTGATCGTCATTTCGGTCATATGCATCCGGGTCACAACATACCGCTACCTTACCTCCCAGCTGCTTCCGCACTGTCTGCGCATTACTCTAATTAGGCCGCTTCGACCTCTCTGCTTCCACGAATCCGACCTGTTCGCTCAAGCTCTCGCCCGATTCCACTCCTCGGAAGAAAGAGAGTGTAGGAGGAGCAGCAGGAGAGAAGAAACACGGAGACAGGAAGACGAGGGAGAGAGGAGGAGGAGGAAGAAGAAGAGAGGGTAGGGAACGAGCGCAGGAGGCGATCTCGGGGAAAGAGAGCGATGGAGCGTAGGAGACAACTGGGCACGCTGTCGCCTCTGGCACGGGTTCAGGTGATGGCATTCATGGTGGGGTCCATTGTCTTGAGTTTGGCAGCCATGCCTCAGGTTCGTGCGGGCAAGGGAGGAGTGGGAGGAGGAGATGCGCAGGCCGAGCGGAGGAGCCTCTTCGGACCGAAGGGGGGTCAGTCTCTGCGGAGCGACACGAACCCAGAACGGCAGTTGAGAGCGGCTATGGCCGACGGCACAACAAGTCTATACGAGCTGACCGCAGACGTTACGCTCACGAGCTCTCTTCCTCCCTTGAGCAAAGACTTCGCTGTGACGGGAAAGTGCACAGGCATGGGCTGTGTGATCAACGGCGGGGGCAAGTTCCGCAGCTTCGTCGCTCAGTCTGCCTCTCTGTCGTTGTCGGGCCTGGATCTGGTGGGGATGAAGACAGTCGGGAAGAGCGTGAACGCGTTCGAGTACGACACGAGCGGCGGAGCCGTGTACGTGAGGGACGGGGTCCTCACGGTGAAGAACTGCGTGTTCCGCGGGAACAAGGCGAAGAAGGTCATGGGCGGCGGCGCCATAGCCATGCTAGACACGCGCTTCCTCATCTCCGACAGCGAGCTCACGGGCAACAGCGTAGACGGGTCGGGAGGCGCCATAGCCGCGTGGAGAAACAGCTACGGGGATGCAGCGGGCCTTCATCTGCCCTGGCCCACAGCCAGGGCCTATTTGGCTATTTGCCAGTCCGGCCTGTGGGACCAGGCCCCCATAGGCCGTGTGGTTATTCAGTCAAGTCAAGTCCTGCCCGGTACCACTGTCGGTACCAGGCCAGTCCAGTCCAGTCCAGTCAGTCCGCTGGGGGTATACCCCAGCTGCAGTCTCTTTTGTGGCATTCTTCATTTGCACAGATTGGAGTACGTGCGTGTTGAGTCTGCGTTGGAGCTGCGCTGTCCCTTCCAGCTCCATCTCCATCTCCCCCATCCTCATCCCTTCGTCTTGATCCTAACGGACCGTCATCCCGGCGGGTCTATCACACTGGTATCCGAGCAGGCTTTCCTCCCTGCTCCTCTCTCCCACCCACCCCACCTATCAGTTGCCACGTGGCTTGAGCAAAAAAA